CGAGAAGAAGGATAGGATGCAGCCGCCCCACTTGAGTGGAAGACCCACACAGCTGTGACAGTAGGGGTGGGAGGGTGGACTCCTCCTCAGAGGAGCGAAGACGTTGTTATTTTGCAATCGTCGTCCCCCCCCCCGCCCCCGGTGTGTTTTGAGTGGGGAATCCTGGCCCTTAGAAAATGTGTTCCAAGAATACACTGTCTAGCTTGTTACAAAAAACGCGCAGACAACAATAAGCTCCCCTCGGGAGAGGGAGGCTTGCAACTGTGATAACACCCAGGAATAGCAAGGGTGAAATTAGGTCACTGCTGCTGGAAAACACTCTGGGAGACCCTCCTGCACATTTTGTGCCTTTAGACAATGCTAAACATTTTTTTTCCAGAAAGGTTCTAAATTTTTTTCCTTGAAAAAGATAAAAGAAGCAGCATCTATTCATGCTGTTGTTTCTAAAAAGCACTGAATCGTACTTTTTGTGTTATTAGTTGTACAACTCCTCTTTGGAGTAGAGCTGCAACCCCGATTGTTTTTGTGTGTGTGTGTGTGTGTGTGTGTGTGTGTGTGTGTCTGTCTGTCTGTCTGTCTGTTCAAGGTTATTTTTGTAATTAGATGAATAAAACTACTCTGGCAACATTTTAGTACCCAAGTCAAGCTTAATAACTGGATCTTTGATACAGTCAGTAATAATAATCATGGTATGTTTTTCCTGGAATCATCCTTATCTCAAACAGCACACTCAGTCTTCTGAATTACAAACTCAAGCCAAGCCAAGTGGTGGTGTCTTCAACCTGCATCTGCTTACTGATAGTCTAAAATTACATAATTTAAAATAGACCTTCTCTCAAATTTCATTAGCTAGAGCGACAGTTAATCATGCTCTCTGGGGCGCAGCTTAGTTGGTGCCCTGATTATAAAATAAAGGCAGTTTGCATATGTAAGCTGCCATGACCACCACCTCTTGGTGTCGAATGAGAGCAGCAGAATCCAACCTTCTCTCCTGTCTTGAAGAACTTTCCTCTGAAATTCATCCGGGCTTAGCACGTTGCAGACTAATGTGGAAGAAAAACATGGTGTCGGAATCGAGTCCTTGTTGGGGCTGTGTTCTTCTGAGTGCAGGGGGTTGCGAGGAGGGAATCTTAACTGCTTGGATCAGTGCCTGTTCTCGGCCTCTGGCTGTCAGCAGTCCTGGCGAAAGCTAGGCGTATGACGTGCAGCCCCCTGAAAATTGGGCTTGCTGTAGAATGTTAAGCCAAAAAGCCCAGCGGCCATAGGAACGTGGTTTTGAACTGTGGGGACGCCCCTTCATCCACAAAGCAGTGAACGGGAAAGGGACGTTGGAGCGGGAACCTGCCAGTTCTTAGCTTTCTCCCTTTCCACCGTCTGCTGATCTAGTAACATCTGGTGGTTGCCCCATGAGTACATCTTGTGTTTTCACTCTGTTGTGCCACAGAGCTCATGGCAAATCTCTGGACAACGTCTGCAGATGTAAACAGGACAAACTTTATGACAATTCTACACTTTCATAATCTCTGTGTTCTAAAGCAAGTTTTTCCAAGTGCACTACTATATTTGCTTTGCTTTGCTTTGTCTTTAAGAGAGTTTTGTGCTTTTTTATGCTTTTGGCCTTAACCACTCATTGCAAAAGTACCACACAGAGGGTGTGTTCCTTGTAAATTACTCCTATTTATAGTTGCAATAACACTGTAGCTAAGAAGCAGGCTCCTATTGAGTCAGACCCTCTGTGCCTCTAAGCCCGCGTGGTTGATTCTGACTGAATGATGCTTTTCACAGCTTCAGGCAGGATTCCTTCTGAGTCCTCTCTCTGAAGGTGCTGCGGGTTGAATCCAGGGCCTTCCTCCCACCTGTTGACTCCAGAGCCTGCGGCCTTCCCCCACGGGGCGAGGGTCCAGGATGGGGCTGCCCTTCCCTGAGCGGGAGGAGGCGGCTTTGCCAGGACAGTTATTGGGGAAGCACAGCAGCCAGGTATGTCCTTCAACAGGCTCTTCCTGGATTTGCGCAGGAGCCTGACCTCCGTCTGTGGCCTGGATGGGAAAGTACAGAGAGGCACACCCGTGAGCTAGTTGGCACTCGGGCGGACGTGGTTAAGATAGCTTTGAACAGAAAACAAGGCTGAGGCGCCCTCCTCACAATCCCCCGCCACATGCCTGCCCACCGCTAAAATAGGACCTTTGCATCGCAAGGGCTGGTGCAGTTTTCTGTGGTGTATGAAACGCATGCCTGTGGGTGGACCTCTTGCTTCTCTGTTCCTTCCCCCCCCAGCCCAAATTCTTTGTGTCACCTGGACTGATGAAGAGTTCTAAAGAATCTGAAGGCTTCCAGGCTTTAGTGGACTTCTCGTTGGTCCTAATACAAGTGTTGTCCACTTGTGGATTCTGGTTTCTTGCATACATAGCCGTGGCAGCAGCAGAACCGTGGCAAAAGGTTTCCTGCCTTCCCCCCACAGCAGGCAGAACAGTTCATTGCGTCCTCAACCCTAGGATGACGAGCGAGGTTCAAAGTTCTTGCAGCAGGATTGATCTCTGAGGCACCTTCATGCACCACTGGCGTTTTAAGACTCTGATTTCAGTACAGTATTTTCATACCAAAGTTATACCCTGGCGAGCTAGCGCTTCCTTCCTTCTTACGGTTCCAGAGGGTGCTGTGGGCAAGGGGATTCCGGGGGCTGGATACCGGGAGGGTCCTCTCCCTGGGGGAGCCTCCTTGTCAAGATTACCTGCTGCCTTTTTCCTGCCACCTTAGAAATACAGTTTCGGAGGTCCTGTTAACATGGTGGGGGTGGGGGTGTAAATGAATGCACACCTTTCTGTTATTAACCATTGTGAATTATAAACTTACAATTGAAAAGTGTTGTAATCATTACAAAAACACTTGGCCCCACAGTGCCAGGGAAGGAGAATGCAAATGAGGTCCGCAGCGTTTCACAATGGGAGGGTTGTATGATAAAAACTTGAAACAAGGGAATTGGTTGCATTCTGCATCTGCTGGAATCAAGTATCTCACTGTAATTTATGAAGAGGGCTGCCAGCTGCCGCTTGATCAGCTGGGAGCTGCTGAATTTTAATTCCTTCTACTAGTTTGAACTGGACGTGCACTGGCACAATGAATGCTGTGTCCTTTCCTTGCCGAACCTTGCTTTGCACCAGAGGTGTCCCCTTGTTAGAAGTTTGGTGCCCGATGAGGTTGCCAGTCCTTTGGAACTGAGACAAAAGTCACTTCCCGAGAGGGTTCACTTTCTTCTTACCTGGGGATATTCCAGATGGTTGTCTTCTAGTCCTGCTCAAAATCGCAATGAAGAGCAGGAAGGCATGATTCTGAATAACCAACTCTTTAGCTTCCAAACATAGCTAGCAAAGTGTTCCAGCAGGGAATGGTAACTCCATTTTGGAACCTCATAATCCTAGAACATCCCTTCCCATCTGGGAGGTAGAAGAACCAGTTTCTCCTTTCCAGGGTAACGCTGTGGGTCAGAGTATCTTGCATTTGAAAGTATCCCATATGGAGAGGAAGGCCTGGGCTGAGGGTGGAATGCATTCCGAGGGAAAGCGATATGTCTTCCCAGAGCTTATGCAGCAACCGAAGGCATCATGGCCACCCTCTTCCCGACTTAACCAAAATAAAGTGTCTTGCACCCTACATCTCACCAGCTGTTGTGGCACACGAGTCAGAAAATCCCACAAACATCTTTGTCTCTCTGTCCCGGGCAATAAAAATTCAGCAACTAAATAAATAACAGATTGCTGCCCATTCTTAAGCGCCCGTGCCCATTCCCTGAGGCCACCATCTCCAGCTGCCTACCAGTAGGGCTGGGCTTGCCACAGAGCCACGCTGTCTCTAGATAGACAGTGTTTTGTGGAAGCAGTCATTTGTGGGAACCACAGCCTGTCAAGGGCTGTAACATTGCTTGGCCCTGGCATTGAGAAAGCATTTTCTGAAGGCGGCAAGCATTATTGGGAGAGGATGCAAGCGGTGTCCTGCATTCATTAAAAGGGTTTAAAGGGGCACCTTTGTCAAAATGCAATGTCTGTTGGGTTGTTGTGTCTGTTGTTCGCTTTTGGCTGACTGTGGCCCTTGCCTCCCGTGTTAGACACTTTAGAGGAGTACTTTGAATATGAAGCGGAGGAGTTCCTCGTCAACTTGGCCTTGCTGATTACGGAAGGGCGAACACCGGAGTATTCTGTCAAGGGCAGGACAGAGGGATTCCACTGCCCTCCGACACAGTCAAGCCAGCCGCCAACGACCAAGCATGAGTGCAGTGACAAAGCGGCCCAGGTACGGGATGATCCGAGGTGCTCGTCGTCCTTGTTCGCTGTTCTCTTGTCTAAAGGGCTGCGTTCAGTAAATTACGTTGCAAACACTGGCATTAAATGTCAGCATTTTTAGGCTGCTTCTTAAATGCTTTCAGTACCTGTGAACTGAGAGCATGAAATGATTTCTGTTACCTTTAAAGCAGAATGATGAAGTAGAAAGATGCTCTGTCTGAAGGACTGGTGGGACTTCTAGGTACGTATTGGTTGATGGGAAGATGAAAACTTGAGGAGAACTCTTGACTAAAGATTTAAAACCTGAAGACGACTCTTGATTGAAGCTTTCGAAGCTGAAACCTTTGATGTGACACTAGTAGATTTTGTTCTTCAACTTTCCTGTAGCCCTGTAGAACACCGGAAAAATCAATGTTTAACCCAAACTCTGCCTGGTAACCCTTCAGTGGGATTTCCATGGGCTTGTAAAGGGCCTTAGAACTCACTCCGTGCGAGTTTTTGTTTGCACTTATTGGTAGCTAAGGGTACCAGAGTACAACCAGAGGTTGGCTTGTACACAAGAGGCTGACTTTAATTCTGGTCTTGTGTCATCTGGTTCTTTGATTCAAGTGTCGTCAAGCAAAGCGCACAAGGTCTGAGGTGTCATTGCTGTGGAAGAATAATATCCCTATCATGATCGAAGTGATGCTGCTTCCAGACTGTTGCTATAGTGACGAAGGGCCCACCACAGAAGGGAGTGACTTGAAGGATCCAGCCATCAAGCAAGACGCGCTGTTACTGGAAAGGTGGCTTCTGGAGCCAGTTCCACGACAGTAAGTTTGTATATGGGGGGTGGGTGGGTCTAGAGTTGAGGCTGGACGCTTGGTGGTTGCTGCATACATAACGCAGTGATACATAGATCTGAGTCTTTTTGGGTTCATCTCGGTTTGATTGAACATAATCTTTATTTAGTATTTATCAAAGGTATATGCCTAGTTTTTCCTTAAGGTTTATAAGTACATCCAGTTTTAGTTCTGTCCGCAGTGTACCCATTGAAATCAATGGGATTTACATCAGTATTGACTTTTTTCAATTAATCTACTCCAGTTGTAAATTTGGATTTAACCTTTAGTATGTCTGATGAAAATATTTCATGGCGCCCTTGGTTTTGCTTGTTTTATAGTATTTTTTGGTAAGCCTGCTGTCCTGGCACATTGAGTTGTACTCCCATGTGAGATGTTTTTCTCAACTTCCTAGATAATTATATCCGAGGTAAATGACTGTTTTGTTGTCTTTTATGTGTCATTATTTCCACCAACTTTACGCCTTTCTCTTTGGTGTGCTTTTAGAAGTGGTGATCGATTTATCGAAGAGAAGACCCTCTTGTTGGCTGTCCGTTCTTTTGTGTTCTTTTCTCAGCTAAGTGCTTGGCTGAGTGTCTCCCATGGAGCCGTCCCTCGTAATATTCTCTACCGGTAAGTCTCAAGCAGAAAGAGAAGAAGCTTTAAATAGCTTTTCTGATTATGACATTCTGCATGACCTCATTCAGTAGAAAACACATTTTTGTGAATAATAATAATTTTAGCCAACCAATTGGGTTGTTGCTGCTGCTGGAGAATACAGCTGTATTTGAGAACTCAGGGAAGCTGCTGTATTGAACAGTGTCTCTGAACAGCTGGATCTACATAGAAGCTCTTGTATGCCTTTATTCCTTGTTTTGTTTTTCCCCTTTTCTTTTCAGAGTGAGTGCTGCACATGTGGATCTGCAGTGGACCTTCTCTCAGCCACCAACAGAGCATTTTTTCCCAGTCCCAAACATTTCCCATCACGTGGCCTTGAAAGTCAGTGTCCAGTCTTTGCCGAGACAATCCACTTACCCTGTTCTGACCTGCAGTATCCACACCAACCTTGGCTTTTATGGAAAGAAGGTGGAAGATAGCACCGTTCCTCAGCGCTGGGGTGCCCTCAAGACAGAGCTGGGCAGCGTGCCCGTCTCGCCTCGTGCTTGTGGCAGGTTGAGGTGGGCTGAAGGGGCACAAACGGGCGGTGAATTTACGGCACCTGCCAGGAACCGGAAGCTTTACCCCTCGGCCCGGCTGTTGTCCGACTCTGGGTCGCCAGAGCCTAAAGGTCAGTCCGGCACCCCTGCTGCTGATTCTAGAAAGCCACCAGAAGAACCGCCAGAGAGAACGGGGAAGTCTTTTTGCTTGGCTGACTCCAGCGTTCATAACGGCTATTGTTCTCGCCCGGCATTTGGAGAATCTGTTCCTCTGATAGGCTCTTTACTGCAGGAGCGCCATGAAGTAATCGCACGGATTGCTCAGCACCTGATTCACTGTGATCCAGCAACATCGCCAGTCACGGGACGGCCGTTCACTACGGGGGAAACCGGTTTATTGAACTCAAAGGTTTTACGCAGCACGTACGAGGAAGAAAGCTTGCCCCAGAAGGGAAGGGAATGGTCCTCTCCTTTTACCCCTAATTCAGAACCAACTTCATCAGAAAGCAGCAGCGTCAGAAAAGCCCCCAAGATACCAGAAGCACCGTTATCCGATTCCTATGTTCTGGTGAACCAGTGGTCCCGTCACACCAGAGAGGAAACCAACCCTCTCATAAGCTCTCTGCTTCAAGAGCGGCAGGAGGTCATAGCCAGGATAGCACAACATCTGATTCACTGTGATCCGCCGGTGGCACCTGCTGCCCATCCTGTGTTTAATGTCCATGAAGTTAGTCCAGTCAATCCAAAGGCTTTCCACAGTCCCAGCGTAGGAGACAACCTGCTGAAAAAATGCAGAGAGGTCCCTTCGGAGTCCTTCTCCGGATCAACTTTATCGGAGGACAGCCAGAAGGCAAAAAGGAAAACCCCAGCCACCCCCTTGAGTCCGTTCAGATGTGATGCTGAATTGAAGGTCTCCCCCACCTCTCAAGTCAGGAGGAAGCTGCTTCTAGCGGAGTCCAATGAAGTGGTCCCAAACCCATTTCAGCAGTCACCGACCCATAGAACTAAAGGTCCTTTGACTTGCTTGAACCAATCATGTAGCAAGGAAGGGTATAAGCCAGAATTAGCAGATAAATTGGAATCTCTAATTTTGAATTGTTCCCATAAACCTCAAGTGGCAAAGAAAAGTGTTGCCAAGCCTTGTTCCCCTTTGAAAGCTAGGGATGACCCGATCTCCACAGAGAAGCTTCGGAGCAGCGCCTCGGACTGCTTGAGCAATCCACAGTTGGATCAGCCCCAAATACTTGAACGTGTGAAAGTGACGGTAACACAGGTGCCGGACGGTTTGCACAAAGGTGAGCCCAACGGCTCGAGGACAGACTCAAAGCAACCAAATGCTTGTGAACAAAACTCTCAACTCGCTAGTATTGAAAACTGTTTACACAAAGACCTTGAAAGTTTCAAATGCAGAAATAAACAACATAAGGTAAAAAATGCCAACGATGAGAATGAAGATCCCTCGGATTACGAAGGACAGAAACGTTCTCAGAAGAAGTCTCACGAAGATGGTCGAGGGGCCTCGTTTGAACAAAGGAATGCCGAGACAACTGTGAGTGTTGCTTTGAACCCTCCCGTGTGCTGTTGTGGGTCACTTCCCTACCTATCTCATAGGAACAACTGCTGTGTTGCTGTGGCCGTCAGTAAAACAGCATCTTGTGGGGCAATAGGTTCTTCCTAGGTGGGGCAGAGGAAAGAGGGGTGCTGCAGCTGCAGCTTCAGCGCTGTCTGCTTGGAGGGGCGGATGCCCAGCGGTCAGCCTGGATCTGATCCATGCGAGAGAGACGCGCGTGTTTGCCTACCTCTCTTTCGGTCGCAGTGGGTGTGGCGACAACAGCTTACCTCTTTAATGGGCCGGCGGAAACCCTTATCCCTTTGCTGCATTTCCATCAAAATCTTCTTGATGCTGCGCCCCTTACATGCAAAGTTTTATCCCCGCAGATGGTGTACGCCTTTTGCTAATGGTACACAGAGGCTGAAATCCTGTTGCTTAGCCTAGTCAGTCACAGCTAGAGGAGGCCTGTTGAATTGGTGGAGATTTGGTGGGTCTTCTTCTTTAGATGTTCCATTGATTCCATGGGCCCCCTCTAGTTGCCACTTACCGGTCTGACTACCTTTGGCCATAGAAAGTACTGGACATACTCCGGAGGCTCCCGCTGTGGTTTCCTCTGAAAGCTTATCCGCTAATCTGCAACACTGCATTGCTTTAAAATGGGGGTATCCCATTCCTCAATGTTGCATGGATTACCCAAAGAGCCACGCTTCATAATAGATGGGGGGTTTCTATGCACTTGTGGGTAGTAAGTATGCATGTTGACAATTTAGCCTTTTGAAACAAGTGGTGGATTTAAAGTAACATACTGAAGCTCTCTCTACAAGGAGAATTGTCCTTGGTGTGGGTTCTGCTGATACCGGCTGCTGGCTGCCATGGCCTCCCCTTTGTGGCTCCAGCCCCTGGGGAGCAACAGGGGGCCCAACCTGGACCCTGCAGCCAGATTTTGTGACATGTTTTGACATTTAGAGTGAAGCATGCGGCATGAGAAATCACATAGGTAGACGTGTTCTAAAATATTCAGAATAACTGACTTTAGCCTAAATAGGTTTCTTATTTATAGCTGATTTTTCTCCTTCTGTGTGCACAGAGATTGCTACCGCTGAAACCTACGTGGCACAGAAACAACTTGCACCATTTTGATGCGACTTCAACAAAAGCTTTCCATCCTCGAACTGGATTGCCTCTGCTCTCTAGTCCTGTAAGTTGCTCTTTTGTAGGCCCAGCCCTTTTATAGTTTCTCCCTTTTATTTGCTCAGGCTTTGAAAAGCATACTGGTATTTTGTGCTTTTCAGGTTCTTTCTCTAAACGTTATTCACTCTTGTTAGTTTCATACTGTTTTTAGATTTTTATTTATACGTCTTAATTCTATGATCTGATTCTACATTTAAGGGGAAACTGTTCAAAGACTGGCTATTGGTCAAAGTATACATAATGCATGCAAGTAAATAAATAAATAAATAAATATTAGATGAGCGGCGCTGCAGACATTTTGGCTTTTTTTGTTTTTACACTTTCTATGGAATTTTACCAACTAAAATATTTACAAACAAAATGCACTTGTCAAAAACAAGGTTTCCGTAGCCGTTTGTCTCAAAAATTCCTTACTACCTGTGATCTAAACTAATTTTATCTCTCTCGCTTCTTCTCCCACCTCTCTTCTTTTTGAGGTTCCTGAAAGGAAAACACGATCAGGATGCTTTGATTTAGATACATCACTATTGCACCTGAAATGTTTGTCCTCTAAAAGGTATTCTTTAAAATCTTCTAAGAAAAGATATTCTTTAAAGTTTTTTGAGAAAAGATAATCCTACATAAAAGTTTAGAAAAAGGCACCAGCAGGCTCAGTTTATGCATGTTGTAATTAGAATTGCAACCTTTCATTAACTTTAAATCAGCTTAAATAAACTCAGAATATTCCTGATAGGGAAAGTCTTTTCGAAAAAGTGATAAAAACTGCAGGCAGTGCCCGCTTCCTTGAAATTGGTCTTCCTTCCTGCAGAAGAGCTGAGGAGGAGAGGTTCCTTTATAGGCACCACCTGTTGCAAAACATAAGTGCAGCACATCAGAACAATTTTTCTTGAAAAATAATCAATTACATTAGTTTTAGTTGCTCAGTTGACTAATATTTCTCTAACCAGCTGACAGCCCCACCTCAAACAGCTTCCTTACATTCCTAGGTAGGCATGCGAAGTTTGAAAACACTGAGCCCTACACCATTTACGTGGGAATTTATTCTCCCAGAATCCTTTTAATTTGTTGATGACAAATACCCCAGAGCCCAGATTTAATGATGCCGTCTGGGTGAATTGTCTCTTCTCAGGGAGACAAAGCAGGTTCAGGCAGATGTTTTCCCCCTTGTTTGCACAGCCAAAGGGTACCTGGACCTTCTGTGGAATGCCTAACCGTGGGACCATCCCCGCGGTTGCACTGTCATTTTTTCCAAATCTATTCTATAGCAAGTGTGCATTGAGGGGATTGTTTTTGAGAGAGAAGCCCTGAAATTCTATAGATTTCTTTAACCTTGAAGCAGAAGTAGTTCAAAGACTCCGTCATTAGTTCAAAAAACTTGTATGCATGGAGCTGTGGAGGAGGGCGGTCTTCACTCTGAGTTCTTGCTGTGATTTACTCTAGTCCACAAAGATGTATAAATGGAGAGCAGGAACCAGATATCCAGGAGAGACCGCTCTTGAGTTGCAGCGCTCCACCTGTAACAAGTCTTAGCCTTCTTGGAAACTTTGAGGTAATGTGCCTGTTCGCGAAATCCCCTGCCCCACCAAACCGATGTGCTAATCCTCCCGCCTGGCGTGCTTCCTTCAGGGCCCGGCTTTCGGAGCCAGCTTCTACCAGTTGCAGCTGCCAAGAATGGTACAAGGTGGAATTATATTGTTTTGCTAATCTAACCTCTTCATTTGCTGACGATTCTTTTCTCTGGTTTGATTTTTTGTGCCCATTTAATACATGAATTTTTGATCATATATTGTTTTTTCAACTTGTACCTTGCCTGAAGAATACAACATGTCCTGGAAGGCAGTCTTAAAATAAATGCATTTTTTAAAAGTGCATTTATATTTAATTAGGGACTCATTGACTTCAATTAGTTTAAAGGGTCTATCTTTGCAATTTCATCTCTGGTAGGTGTGCTTTTAGTCCACGTGCTTAAGACAACCTTTGCTCAGTGGGGCTGTGACTGAGGGGTGGAAAACTTCCTGTCCATGCGGGACATTCTAGATTCAGACCCGGGGCTTTTCCCACA